TTGTTCAAACGGGAGATTGATATCATACAAGTGCACTTGCGATGTAAGACATGCACAAATATGAATATATCTTTTTGTATGTTTTGTATTTCATTGTAATTCAGGTGTCTCATATGGAGCTTGGAGAAGAGGTTATGATGCACTGCAGCACAGAGGGGTACACAATCAGCCTCTAGCTCTTGGGAAAATATATTTCTTTATTATCCTTTCAGCAATTACAAGACAGGTTTAATGTCCCCATGGAACATTCTTTGCATATCTTCAAATGAAGCGTCTCGTATCTTCTGACGTACTTGCTTCTCCAATCAGCCTCTCTCAAAGTGATGTGAGGAGATTCTTCCACTGGCTTAGAAATGGAAAGATTGTTCTACGGCTCTTTTTATGACATGCGTGAGCTCACATGTACGGCTAGAGGGATACTAGACTTCATGCATAACAATGTACAAGATACCCGATGTGCCATATGTTTATTAGACTATCGGATCATGCAGCTTGTGCACAGACGCGGGGCTCTAAACGCTGGAGCGAATGACATTGCCGGAAGTGGATTTCAAATTGGCCAGCGAGGGAAGCGTGCTTTAGTGTGTGTGAGTCATTTTCAAGGGTACGTAGGCAGTTTACGACAGGGAAAGGTCACCTGTGTAGTCGGCCCACAAGCATCTTGCTCTTAATACAGACCAAATGGGTGTTTGCAAATAGTCTTTTACGAAAGGCTGTTTGTCTGTTGTCAGGTCACAGTGTGTAAGAAACTATAGCTAGTATAGTTTGTTAGGAGATTAACTGCCGCTTGACTGGGAAAATTGTAAAGAAACAATAATATATATACATATATCATAATAAATTAAATTGAAATTGAAACTATAAGAAATGTACATGTCACTTGAACAATAAACACCTGCTGACTGATTGTGTGTTTAGTGTTTGAAATGCTTGGTAAGAATGTACTCCAAAATATACTGCTGTTTATTTCCACGGAAACTTACACGCTGTGTTCACAGAGGTGGGACTCTTTCATTCTGGTACTTTGATTATGTTGTGTTTCTCTAAACTCAAACTGATAATGAGCCAGAAGACAACAGGGACCATGCACACTGAATCAGTGATAAGTGAATTTATTACAGCTAAATGGAGTTGTTTTAGTCCTTCACCCCATGCTGCCATTAAATGTCCCTGTGATTAGTGAGGCACACGCAGCCAACCTAATTATCCAATGCCACAGCCAAACCCTTCGCATGATTACAACAGTTTTCTTCTTATACTGCAATTATGTTCTTTGAAACGGCGGACGCTATAATTAAAGAGGAAATGCTTGCTTTCCGTGTGCGTCTGCGTGTCTTTGTGTATCTGTTCAGGTATCTACAGTACGCGCATGGAAACATGCACTTGCTGTGTTTTTTTCAAGCCAATCGCATTAGTTGCAGCTCCTCTGCAACTATTTCTGTTCTGTAAGAGCTTAATTGTAAAAAAAAGAAAAGAAGTTGTTATCAGGGCGAGTAGAGGTGATGATTTGCAGTGCGGATCCTGAATGCAAAAAACAGAGAATTCCCTCTTCACAGCATATTCAGCCGCTTACAGTGCTGATCAGGGCTGCAGCACCACGCAGGAGAAACAGAGCTAAACTGGGTCACATGGATGTGGTTGTGATTCAAAGATGTCAGTAGAGAGAGGTGAGATTGCGAGACACTGTGAGAAAATCCAAGAAATACTAATTTCTCCGCCAGCATCTTGCCTGAAAAAAATGATGGTTTTATTTAACATGACAAGTGTAGAGGAGCAATCATTGTTATTAGAGCATTACGGATGTCCCCACGAGGGAGTCTGGGGATTTCGGCAATGGGGATTGAGTGAATTAATATGCATTTTCCTTACCAAGAGGGGGCAGTGCAGCTGCAGCGGTGCGCCAAACAAATCCTTGTGCTTTGTGAGGAAGAGGCTCACTCCCTCTGGTGAGTATTCCCTCCACATCTTCACTCGCTGGCACGCCTGTGTACAACCAGCCCAGTGCGGTGACATTTGGAATGAACACCGGCCCGCCATTGTTCATCGCTACACGACGTGTTGCGTGTGATTCTGTACTCATTCGCGTACAGAAGTGTCCAGGACTCAGGTGCACCACACGCCCAAAGTCCTCTGGCACGGCCTAGATGATGATGTGGTTTTAATGCGTGAAACAACACGACACCCTGCTTCTCTGCGAGCGGGGCCACCCTTTCTTTTGTTAAGCCCAGAAGCCACATGTTTGTCGGGTACATGGCTCCTCTCAGACTTACATGCACAGAACCTCCAAGGCGAGGGATGGAAATGAAAACGCCTCGCTGTTCGTTGTCTGTGGATCTCACACGGACACATTGTATAGCCGAACATGGAAAGAGTGGCCTTGTCCTATTGTTTCCCCTGTTTGCCTTGGGTGTGCCCTTCCGCAGTCCGACCCTCTCCGAGGGAGCCTTTTTGTTCGCGTTGGGAGGGGAAGCTGTCTGTGTCACGAGATCACCTCGATCGGAGAATGCTTTTCATTTTCGATGCCCCCTTTTTCTTACACGACCTCGTTTGGCTCAACGGGTGACTCACGCGCGACAGGCGGAGTTCTAGCCATTTGAAAATCCAGCTTCGCTGCCCTTTTATTTATCTCTCACCCCAGCAGTTTTCTAAATGTTTGTAGATGAACACTAATCGTCTCCTGGCTATGTGGACGACACGCCAATTAATCAAGCGCACCGTTCTGGCCGACCCAGCAACGGCGAACAGCTTCTAGCACGCGGCTGGCTGGCAATAACCAGTTTGTACAACCCCCGAAGGGCTGTGAGGCCACCGCTGCATGTGTTTGTGTGCACGGCAGTTGTTTCCTGGGTGGAAACATTTTAATACTACCAGTTTGTCAGTTTGTGTGTCTGCTCGTTGGGGGTTGTGTACAGTGTGTGCAATCCTTTAGTGTAACATAATGTGTTCATTGCCCCCCCGTTGAGTCGGTCAGACTCTGTCGTGAAGCTGCTAATGATACAGCGGCGTGGTGGAGATATTACGCAACCTCCGAAGGTTATTGGACCCTCGCCACACATCAAGTGCGTTCCACTTTTTTAGTAAACCTAAAAAAAATGTTTTTATTTCTCTGGGGCACACCTTTTCTTTCATCACATCTCTCATCCAACAGTAAACAGAAAAATGAACTCAATAGTATTTGTGATCTAGGAGGTCTTTCACTGTACACAATATCCCATGATGTGCAGACACTATTCGTATTCACATCCTATTCGAGCCTGCAGTAGCAGGCGATCGCAATCCGGTGGATGGTAAATGTGTGTTATCTAACAGGGCTCTTTGATAATTCTTGCCTTGCTGCCCATCCAAAAGACGAGGTGCTCTGAATTGTGTTTATCCAGTTGAATGAGTATTACAGTGTGGTGGTTGTTTGGCCACATGCAAAAATGCACTTAGACACGTGTTCACATGCACACGCTCAAACACAAACTATCAAGTCTTCTCATTATTCCTTTTTTTCAAGGCGAAAAGGGAGAGAGGAATGCAGGCGGTGGAGGAGTGGAGAAGGATTGATGGGAAGCAGGGAGGTACAAGAAAGGTGATTAAAAACTCCAGCTACAGATGTTTCTGGAACACTTCAAAGTGGTGAGCGTGCCAGTGCCAGCGCCGGGCATGATGCATTATTGAGATGGTGCCCACCTGGCACCTGGCACTGACATCACATGCCCGCTCCACCTGGCAGTATGCAGTCACGTGGGTCACACTGTGGGTCACACCTCCCCACACGAATCAGGCTCCCGGTGTGATTTGTGGAAAGTGGAAATAACACACACACGGTCAACACAGACCTCAAAGGCACTAAACTGGGGCGTGTGCAGCCGGTTAACTCTGTGAATGAAGAGTGAGGACACGGGGAAACGTTCTGGCGAAGGCATTGTGATGTTTCGATTTGGTTTCTAGCTACATCATTTATGCCTTAAAAAGAATCACATTTCCTGCAATGTTTACGTAATTGTATTTCAGGTTGTGGAAAGATGAATGGAAATTTGACTGCGCACTACAATAATTTAATTCCCCCATGCAATAAATTATTGAAATGCAATGATGATAATTCAGTGGAGTATTAAGAGGAAATCCTCAGAATCGTTCTGGAAGGTCTTTGGCTTTGAAGTAGCCTACGGTTTGTGTTGATGCAATTCCTTCTACTTAATATTTCAGAAGCCCCCTCAACCTTATATAAAGAATGCTTAGAGGTCACACAGTGTGTTTTGTGTGTGCATGAATATCTGTGTGTTTCTCTTGCATGTGTCCCATGACACCTTTACTCTGACCGTGTGTGAGGAGCAGACAGAGGCCACAGCCACAGTGACAGGTCTCAGACCAGTGGGGTGTGAAATGAATCAGAGGAACAACACACGCTCCCCCTGCTGTACACGCACACGCGGGCGCACACACACACACATTTTCCCTGTGTGGTAGTGGGAAACGTTTTTAAACTGTAAGGCAAGCGAGAGGACACTTTGGAGGCCAATCAAAGATCCACATTTCTTTTTCAGTGACGTGAAATGCAGCTGCACTTTTTATTAATTAATAATTGCACATTCATAGTTTCTAGATGATCTAATGAGATAATTCACCTCATCTGTGAAAAATAAACAAAAGAGTCTGAGGCGGATATTTGACAGACGCTGTCAACGTGTAAACACTGATTCAATCTGAACTAGTGAAAAGCCAAAAAACATCAAATCTATATTTAAAAATGCCTCAATTTGTGTTTCTTCATGCATTGATGCTCCGGCATATCGCCCTAAAGCACGGACTTATTTTTGGTATTTGGCTTTAAAATTTCTTAATCACCACCTGCAACTTTTTGGGGAGAAAACGAAAAAAACCTGGACGCTCCAGCAACAAGAAACAGGGTGGCAACGCAGAGCGCATCCTGCTCTCTGGTTGGCCCGATCCGCTGTCAATCATCCCATGACGACTCCGCAGCACCTCCCACAGACGCACAGCGGCAGCGCAGATTAAACCGACGATGATTCTCCAGGCACTTGCGGCTCGTCTGCAGCGATAGGAGAAAAGAGGAGAAAGAGAGAACCTCACCTCCTCAAACAGCGAGTGAGGTAGGGGGAGAGAAGAGAGGTAGAAAGCGTCAGAGAGAGAGAGAGAGACAGATAAAGAGAGAGAGAGAGAGAGAAGAGGCTGTGGAGTAAAGGAAAGAACAACAGCGGCTTGGACCTCCAGCAAGGAGTGTTTAATTCTCCGCGCTTCATTGCAAAGTGTCCAATTTCCACACCGATTCGACATGTCATCGTCCGGTAAAGACAACAGCGGTGCCCAACATGCCAATTACGTGGGACCTTACCGTTTGGAGAAGACTCTGGGGAAAGGACAGACAGGTTAGTTGGTGCAGACCGCTAAACCCCTCTCTTTTAATTGCAGCGCTCCGCGTGTCTTCAGGTGATAAATAACTCACCGCTTAGTTGCAAACACCTGCCAAGCGGGGTGGGGATTTGTGTGCGTGTGTGTGTGTGTGTGTGTGTGCGGGGGGGGGGGTATTTTTGTGATTTTAGATGATGTTTCTTCACGTGGATAATGTCGGCTGTGCGTCGGCGTTGTGTGTGCGTCCGTGCGTGCGTGCGTGTGTGCGCGCATAAGCGCAGCAACGTGGACACGATGGGCAATGAAAGGGAACTTTTTGTATCATCGGTGAGAGTGTGTGTGTGTGTGTGTGTGTGTGTGTGTGTGTGTGTGTGTGTGTGTGTGTGTGTGTGTGTGTCCTGTTGATCGGAGCACATCGCCGTTAATCCCGGTTTGGCTGATGCATTGATCTATTCTTAGTCCGCAGGCGGACCTTTTTCCTTCGGCTCGGACGTGCAATATGGGGGTTTCTTCCGAAATGGAGTAGCGGGTCCAACCTTGACAGATTTGCAATGTGTTCAGCTCCCGCAGCTGGAATAGAGTCGCACTGCTCCACATTCATCCGCCCCAGGGGGATGTAACCGGTCGTCCTTAATAAGGAGCGCATCCTTTATCCCCACCAGAGACGGCCATGACAGTGCAGTTTGTCAAAGTTGCACTGCACATGTACAGTTAATGGTAAAGGGGGACTTGGTTCTCGTTATCTCGTGCTATTTCAGGCGGCTGTTTGCATCGGCACCATGGCTTGTCCTTGTGTGTGTGTGCGTGTGTGTTTCTCATACAGTATTTATCTTATTTAGTGAGAATCCTTCTGCAGTCGACTACGTGCAGCCGGTGGAACCATGTGAGAGGAAGAGGCAGCCACTGCCCTGTGCAGGCAGAGGTGGAGAGGGGTGATGCAGCATGCCCCCGAAAGCTCAGCACCCTTCGAGAGAGCGCGAGAGATGGAGAGACTCTTATATCCCTCCACACAACACACGCACAGACGCACACACAAAAAAAATCTTGTCGTCTAAAACGGCTGCAATAGGCGTTTCATCCCCTACCAGGTCCAGCTGGTCCGTGCTGAGCAACCGCGTGTGTGCACGTAGACGCTTCCTCTCTCAAACCGTATGCTCTCCTTAAAAATTACATACACCTGGTCCCAGTGTTCAATAATGGGGTCTCTTTGCCGTGTGTGTGTGTGTGTGCCTTCATACCGATGCCCCTCTTTGACAGTTGGACCGGACATTTTAGTCAGGCTGCGCAAATCCCGAAACATGTTGCATCTGTACTCTGTAGCTCCATCAGTGTGGGGATGACTGAAGTGTGATCTCACTGTCCCCGTTGGTCCTTTCATAACAAATGCAGCATTAACACTTCCTGGCTTGTCTCCCTTTCTCCTGCTACTCCTATGTAATCTGCTCACGGGGAGGATCTCGGCTCTCTTTCGGAGAGCCCTTAAGTCTGTCTAATGGCTGTTTGGTGTCGAGCTGGCACTGTGGTCTGCTGGGTACAGCCGTTTGATGATGTGGTGTGTCTGAGATTGTTGGGGGAGCGTGGGATGCATTTTTCCTGCTAGCCTCAGATGTCAAAAGCATGGAAGCATAGTAAAGCTGCAGGTCAGCGCGATTCGTGGCTCGTGTGAAGCAGCTTGGCCCCCAGATGGCTTCTTATTTGGCAAATTTCAAACGGTGTCTCACTGGGAGGGAAATATTCTGAGAAAAAGATATTCATTTGGAATGCTCTGTGTCTGGTTTTTCTATCGTGCTTTCCCATATTTCAAATGTCCAGTAATTCCCAATATTATTATTATTATTATTATTATTATGATGATGTGTATTTGGTTACTGGCATCTGTGCAGATAGTCTGCGCCAAACCTATTCAGATTAACGACATAATATCCCATTCACTCATTAACCATCCGTTAATCTGCCGGATCTCCTTCCCAGGCCCCCACGCAAGGGGTTGTGCCTGGGAAGTGTGTGCGTCCAATGGCCCGGGCTCGATTGTGAGTGGCCGACGGGAGCGTCCAGTGGGCTAAATCCCCCGTGAGCGTTCCCAAGCTGTGTATGGCTAGTATTATTAGACGGGAGAAAGCGGAAGTCCTCCGGTTGATCTGGCTGTCCTGCACAGAGGAGCCGTGCGCTTCACTGTTCATTAAGTGATTAGGCCTTGTCCTGACACACACACACACACACATAGCCAACACGGTGGTTCTGCTTTGGCTTCCTGATCTAATCCCCTACCCAGCCAAAGGCTCCTCGGTTCTCACTCACGTGGCCCAAAGGTAGCGTGTGCCGCCCCACTTTAGCTTAGCAACTTAGCACCTCCAAAATGCACGGTGTGCGATGGGGCCTGGTGGGCCTTATAGATATGGAGCTCATGCACGACTGGCTACTGATTGGGAAATCTCAAATATCAAGTTATGAGGAACGACTGCGTCAACAGCAGTTTGCTCATAACTCTCGCATTGTCACCAATTAACTCATATTTGTATCGAACCCAGAATTAGGCCCCATGTGTTCCGTGTTGGGTGAACGTTTTTTTTCAATGTCTCCATCGCCGTGTGGTTTGGAGTAGCAGCCTTCATGTGTCTCAGAATCCTCCGCTTTGTTTGACAAAGCTCAAGATTGTGGATTCTTTGTTTTTGCCAGTGCAGTCACTTAAGACCGGCTGAATCACCGCTCTGTTCCACTAATGCGTTCAAGAGCACTGCTGTACTTTGCCTTTACTTTGTTCCTGAAGGCTGTTGATTAGTGGAATAGAGGCCTATTGTGTGGAAAACACTGCCTGCTAATCCAGTGTAAGTCCCTTTTTTCTTTTTCTTTTTTTTTTTTTAGGGAGCGAGACTTGGATATTGACAGGCTGAACGATGGAGGCTGATGTGTAGGCTCCTTGATTGACGTTGAGTGAGGGAAATAATCTCTGTCTCTGGGGGGGGATTTTTATATTTCACCTGACTAAAAAGTTGCCTGTGATGTTGCGTCTTGCACCCTCTCCCTCTGTTCAGCGCGCTCCGTTTCTGCGCATGTTCCTCTTGTTGGGGTTTCTCTGGGCTTCAAAAGGCATTTGAGCGTCCAGCTGTTTTTTGTTGTCCGGGTACAGTTTGCAACTGTCTGCTTCACTGTGGCAACGTGAGATACGGCGAAAGAAAAGCTCTGGTTTGTCTTTCTTTTTTTGCTTAGTCGGACTATGCTATCTTCCGCACATAGTCGGACAAAGGTGTTTACATGAAACGGACAATTCGATTTCAGTCCGACTAAGACAGTTATTCGAATCCATGTAACCACGCTGACTCATACACACATTAACTGGACTGCTGTGGAATCTGGTGCGTTGCACGGCAACGTACGGCCGCTAATTTGACGTTGATTCATAGCGGGTGAGCCGGGCGTGGTCGAGTCCGATCAATGGGCACTCGCAACGATTTCCTGTCCGGAGGAAGAGATCCATACTGTTTCGTAGCACACGATATTCCTGATGATGACAAGTGAGTGGGCGACGCTCAGTCGACGCTGTCAATGAAAAACCACTTGGCAAATCTACAGAAACAAAAGGGTGTGTGCGTGTGGGTCGCCTCGGGAGCCGTGCAGGTGCTCAAACTCCCGGTGACCTGTCACCTTCATCTCGATGCTACTCTCTCTCTCTCTCCCGGGTGTTTCGGGAAAGATTACCCTGGAACAAGTTCAGCGGCGCTGACCTAAAATTGTCAACTGAGGGAGCGAAGAAGGAAAGGCTGGAACGGCGGATTCTGTGGGGCTCTTTGGAGAATCGCTGTCGGGGGAAGCCCCGGCCCAGTGGCTGCGCTGTGTCGGCACCGCCTGACAGCAGGCCGGATCAGAACCGCGGAACAGCAAGCCGAGCCGGCCCAATCTTCGCTCGGACAAAAGCCGCTGCTCCGCTGAGCCCTGAAATGTACCGTAAATGGCAGGAGTGTGTGTGTGTGTGTGTGTGCGTGCGCGTGTTGTCTATTTGTGAGTTTCCTCTTGAATGTTTGGCTCCTCGTGTGTGTGTGTGTGTGCGCTGTTGCATCACTGCTCCAGTCCACTCGGTCGTTGTGGCTGGGAAACTATTCCTGAGGTGAGTTGAACCAGGACTCGTAGCCTGCAGTGTCTTCGCTGTCTGCGACTTTTGCTGAAGTTGTTCGATAATGATGATGACGGTCGCCGTCATTCGGCGCTCCTGTCCTCTCGTCGGCCTCGCTCCATCGCTCTCTCTCTCGCTCTGGCCCTCTTCCTCTGGCCAGTCGAGATTCATACAGGAATTCAGCCATGTGGTAAATCAGACAAGACCTCTGTGGAATTGCATCGATTGGGAGGAATGTATGTAGCCAACGATTTTCAGAGATTAATGATGAGGAAAGAGGTGGAGAACTGGGAGGAGTGCTGGAGAGCGATAAAGGCCGGGCGAGGAGACGAAGGGGGAGGGAAAAGCTTGAACTGAAGGAGCATGAAGCCATCTTTTGAAGGTTCTGACTCCAGCAGAGGTTATTAATTAAGGCAAAGTATTGATCATTCTCTTCATTATATCCTCCCCCTCCTGCTGGATTTTCATCTCTCTGTTGCTGACCTCCAGCGGAGAAAAGGGCTCAATCGTCAGTGAATAAGTGACGGGTTCCAGGGTCCATTTTCTCTTATTTGTACCAATACACACAGATGCACGCTCATACAAACGCAATCTTTTCCCCTCGCTCGGTCCATCTCTCTCCTTCTCGGGGGCTGTGTTTTGCGCGGCGTGTCATCACCTCACGATGTTTAGGATTTCACAGTGCTAGTTTCCCAGCGCAGCAGAAAGAATGAGAGAGGAGGACCGTTTTTCTTTTCACCTGGGCTGCAAAGTGATACGTCTATACGTGACTCCTCACCGTCTCGGCCATTTTCGGCACTTTTGAGTGATTTAAAACGTGCAATCTATTTAACGTTCATGTGCCCAGCGGTAGCCGGTTTCTCTCGCTCTCCACTCACTCACCCAGCTCAGATTATCTGACTGTGAAGA